GAGAGAGAGAGAGGCAGAGGGAGAAGCAGGCTTCCAAGGAGCAGGGAGCCCGATGCGGGACTTCATCCCAGGACCCTGAGATCATGACCTGAGCCAAAGGCAGACGCTCAACCATCTGAGCCACCCAGGCGCCCTCCAGTACTTTTGTTAAATAAATCTTCCCCAGCCCCTTATACCCTGGTTTGTGTGATGCCTGCCTTATTATATATTAAGTTATTTTACCAGGGTGTCTTTCTGGACTGTCTGTCTGATTTCATTGATCTGTCTGTCCTTATGCCAGCACCACACATTTGTAATTAATGCCATTTTACTTATTCTTGTCTCCTAGACCACATTAACAGAAATCAAAATGAAAGAAAAAATTCACTTATGAGCTTACTACACTACAAAAATCAAACTCTTGTTCTTTGGGTAGGATATTTTTTAAGTCCTGTTACCATGCCTTCGTAATTTCTCATAATTATAGCAGTTGCATAGATAAATAAGGTTTTGTGAGTTTTGGTTTCTTTTAAAGTTCTACAGGTATTCTATACCCCTCATTCATTAAGCTCTGCTGGTATAAGGAGGACAAGGCACACTGAGGAATCAATACTGGAAAAGGGTCTCTGGATACATAGCAACAGCCTCACACATTGGATCAGTGATTCTTTGCAGTATACCGCTGACCAGGTGGTTTAGGCAACTCTGTATTCTTGGGTGTGATTTTGCAAATAAAATGTTTACCATTTCCACTGTACTGAGCATGTATTACTCATATAGTGGTGAGCTTTTTATTATGACAGTAGTGTTTCGCAATTTGTGAGTAGCGTTCCTGAATTTTTGTAATTTTGGCTCAAGTTAACCTGTAAAATTTCTGCATTGAGCAAATTATGGTTTTATTTAAGTGAGCCACCGTAAATGATCTCTGAAAATTCTTTCCTCTTTTTGATTTAAAGTGCAGCACTCGTTAGAAGTCTGAATTATCGGAAGGATGACTGGAAATGATCTGTAAGATAACTTTTGTCCCTGGTGCGTGGGGGTGGGAAGAAGTTCCAAGGGCCAGTCCAGAGTTTGCAAGGGGAAGAGAGGGGACAGTGGTCTGAATCTGTTCCTGCTTTTCTGTAGGTTGTCTTTCTGCTGCTAATACCTTTCAGAAGCGAGTGAGGAGTGATCACAGTCATATACATGAAGACCTTGTAACAGCCAGGCTAGTTTGTTTAAAAACTGAAAAATTGCCTATTCAGTAATTCTTTCTGACCTTGACACAAGAATCTTAGTACAGAAGTTCACGCTGATCCTTCTTGGTGTAATTCTCAGATGAGAGCGATGCCCCTACATGCTTTCCCAAACTTTCTTCACAAGGGTCCAGTATGTGCTAGCACTGTATAAATGTCAGAGTTGAGCCACTGAAGGGTCTGCTAACTCTGAACACTGGAAAGTTCCAGGGCAATAGATCACAGGGAAAGTTACAGTTGGGTAGTACATATTGATTCTATTGATTCCATTCCATTTCCCAGTGAAGGGAAAAGGGAGGAATAGTTCTTGCACTTTCCTAGATAGAGAAATGTGCCTAAGATCCCTAGGAAGAGCTCATCTCCCACCCCAAACTGGGGAAAGGAAACTCTGTTCTTTTGTCTTCTTTTATTTCATTAACTCGTCAGAACATTTTGGTGCTAAGGCATGAGTCCATTCAGTTGGAGAAGTATTGTGCACATCCTGATGGGTTTTTATTTATTTATTTATTTATTTTTAAAGATTTTATTTATTT